GTTTTTAAAATTATATTATACATAATTGTAATATAAAATATTGCCAATATTGTTCTTTTTGATGTACATGTCTATATACATATAAACACGTGTATTTATGAATATTGAATTCTTACTTACCTGTAAACGTACATTATAACGTGATTATTGAAAAATAAACGTATTCATTTTTAAAAATATATGTAAAAATACATATTCAAGCACATTTATGATTTACATTTCATTTTTATATCATAATCGTAAAAGAAAGAATTCGAATAAAATAGTAAACTCTTAAAAAATATTGATTTTATATTGAAATTAAATTTTCAGTCCTTTTTTTATTATTTCATTACAATTGGATAAATGAAAATTGAAAAATGGAGACCCATTTCTGGTGTCATACGTTTCAGCATCAAAGGAAATTTTAAATGTTCCCGCTTTCTCATAAAGCTATTATGCGCAACAAAGCCCTACCCTCCCCTATTTTGCATTTCTAGGCTACATACGCATATATATACATATTAGTGTATCATATCATACTGGGCGTAGAATAAAAGTGGTAAGCCACCTTCGAGGACTAGCGTCCTCCAGCGTCAATCTCAACGAATACTATACGTTCAATGGTTAACCAAATTCCTGTGCCACAAGCCAAGTATGAATTGTTAACTGATGTTCGACAGTGAGTTGTATTTTATATTTTTTAATTGTTCTTTAATTCTTATATACTGCACATGCCTATATAAGGATCATATTACTAATCAGTAGGTTTCCTCATTATTTAATTTGATTTTCATTTATTTCTTTATAATGTTTACAATTTATTTATAATAAATTTTTATTGTCAGATTGATATTCATATTCATTTTTTTTTATTTTTATCCTACTGGATTTATAAGTGGGTACGTTTTAAATTCATTATCTTTTTTTTAATAAACGCAATCATTCTTTTGTTGTTATTGTGACTTTTTTAAACATCACGAACACCTTAAAATTAAAGGTATCCGAAACATTATATCATAGAATTGGAAAATTATGTAAAAGAACATCTAAATGTTAATATAAATAAATTAATTATATATGTATGAATGGCAGAAATATACACATAGCAATAATAACATTCAGTTGATAGAACATTTATCTGTTAGATAATGTGTGATAGTTTACTTTGTGGGTATACTTGCAGAACTTGTTTGTATTACAAATATCTATCTTTTAACATATTTCCACGAAAACATAGATTTATATTTCTTCTTTAAAATTTGAAAAATATATTTAACTTAAATAAGTTATAAGATTACTTCATTGCAATAGAATCATATCATTGATATTAATTATTGTCTTATGTTTTATGTTAACATGATAAAATGATTAGAAAATGATTAGAAAAATATAAAATTGTTGTTGTAAGAGTAGTTATTTATTTCTTTATAGCAAAATATTTTTAAAAGATTATTCTTTCATTATTTTTTCACATTTAAAAGATTATTCTTTTTATTTTAATAAAATATAAACTCCACTTGTTTTTATTAAATACATGTATTCTACATTTGATATTTATATCTTAAATATATTTATACATGAATATTAAATTTCTGTTCTTACACCTTCTTTTCTGAGTATCCAACTGTATGTGTGAGCATATAAGTGTATGTCAAATGTTACAGGTGTGGTTATTGATTATTCTATATTTACTATGATATAAGAAGCCTTCATGGATTAAACTTGAGTATAAATGCATGTAAAACAAATTGTAAATGTATAAATCATAGATTTAATTCAGATAATCCATCAAGGATGTTAAATCATAATAAATTAAATCCAATATAATCATATCTATTATTTTTAGTTTGTCTGAAATATAAACAAACAAATTTGGTTTAAATTTCATCTTCTTTTTAGACCTCGTTGGAAAACACAAATTCTGTGTTTGGTATTAGTATCTTTGATACTTGGAATTCTTTTTGTACCACGTGCGTGGATAGGAATTGTTATTCTTCGCTCTGTAAGATCTGAAACACTTGATACAGAGACAGTAGACAATGCCAAGATTGTTACGTGGTTACGTCGGGCTCGGATGTACGCCGAGTCGACGAAGGAGAACCAGAATGCGGACAGGAACAACAGCATCAGTTCGCCACAGCACTTCTACACCAATTCCTCAAAGTAATTATATGTAAAACATGACTAACTACAATATTAATGAAATACCATTGAAATATACAATTGTTTTGATAATATTAAAAGCATTATGATGTATATAAGTAAGTTTATATTGATAAATTTCTCGTTTTCAAATATATGTATCAATAGATCTTTTGTTTACAAATCATACTTATTGTCATCAACTTCAGATATTAAGAGGTGACATAGATGGTATTAAAATATGTTTCTTATTATACAGGCAGATCATTGTCTGTTATTACGCCATACCGAGCGACCTGAACACGTTCTGGGAGCTCAATCCGTCGCACATTGACCCTAATCTTTGTACGCATATTATCATGGGTTTTGCGAGCGTGGTGAACTGCAGCCTTGATTTGGGCAGCAATTTATCAGTTTATAAGGAAGTTATTGCCTTGAAGAAGCTGCAACCTGAGTTAAGGGTCATGATTAGTGCTGGTGGCAGTAATGAGCTCCATTCAGGTTTCTCAGAAATGGTAAAAAATCATGCAAATAGGAAAAGGTATTATTTGTTTCTTTGTATTACACTTAAAAATGTAATTTGAGCATAAAGTGAATTGAATATGTAAAATTTTTGTTATAGATTTATAAAATCAGTCTTAAATGTGACAAAAACATTTGGCTTTGATGGATTAGATTTAGATTGGGAATTCCCTGCATGGCTTGGAGCTGATGAA